AGAAACGATAATTCAATAGGTCTAAAGTGGGGTCATTATCAAGGCCCCCAGGTGCTACCCATGCAGACAGCTTACAGATCAAGCTTTGAGAAACAAAAGTCAAAATGCAACTTGTGTCTGATGTCAGGATTTTGGTGGTGGTAGTGGCTGAGAGGCACAGTGTAGCCAGCTGGTTTTTATCCTAATACCCTTTGCATCTGTAGAAACTGCTTCCCCAGAAAGGAGATGTGTAAGGAGTCTTGGTCCTCTAGGATACAGACAGTGAGTGTGGGAGTTAGCACAGAGCCTTGCTATGCCAGGTGAGTTTGAAAATCAGGCTGGGGATTAAGGGAGGGTGGGATGAGTTGTTATCTGCTTTGACGACTACAGTATAATCACACTTTGTGGGAAACTGTATACTTCCCTGCAGGTGGGAAGTAGAGACAGACAAAGTTATTCTCCAGTGGTGGCAAAAGCAGATAGATTATGGCAAGTGCACACCTGGCTACCAGTGCTTTCTGCACCAGGTCCTCAAGTAAGTGCAGTTGTGGGTGGTCACAACAAAGATGTCAACCAAGTAGCTTTAGTTCAATGTCAGGTGATAGAAATATACTAGAATCTGAGCACTCTGACAAAGTTGCAGCATTCCTAAAACAAATTCTGTAAAAATCTAGCCCAAAAATAAGTTTCTGAGACTTTTCTCAAATAGAAGTTATATACCTAGTCCTTAAGAGTGTTTTTTTTTTGGGGGGGGGTTGTTTTTGTTTTTGTTTTGAGACAGAGTCTCACTCTCTCCCAGGCTGGAGTACAGTGGCACGATCTTGGCTCACTGCAACCTCCGCCTCCTGGGTTCAAGTGATTCTCCTGCCTCAGCCTCCCAAATAGCTGGGATCACAGGCGCCTGCCACCACGCCCAGCTATTTGTAGTAGAGATGGGGCTTCACCATGTCAGCCAGGCTGGTCTTGAACTCCTAACCTCAGGTGATCCGCCCACCTCGGCCTCCCAAAGTGCTGGGATTACAGGTGTGAGCCACAGCGCCCGGCCAATCCTCTTCATCTGAAACACCCCTTAATGACTATCAGATTATCTGAACAGTGTCCAAATAAATCTAATTGCTTTTTGGAAATAGACTGGGCTGAGAAAAGTCTCCCACTACCATAATCTGTACCTCATTTTCTCCTTACTAACATATTGAAACAGATAATTTTTTTTTTTTGAGGCCCAGAGTTTATTGGCCAAGGAGGATCTTGACTCCACATTCCCTGTCCTGAGCACCATGAACACAGGCTTGATTTCTCCCCGGAGTCCCTAGTTTTTCTCAGGTACTACTTCTCTTTGTTTGCTAGTTGAGACATGGTATGATCAGAATTCAAAGTACAACTGCAATAACGTTAATATTAATACTAATAAAGTGACCGACTCATAATGCAGCAGTTTTCAAAGACTTTTGCCAGATATCACATCATTTGATTCTCACAAGATCCTAGTAAGATAGGAAGAGATTATTATTTCTTTTCTGTCTTTTCTTTTTGAGATAGAGTCTCACTCTGTTTCCCAAGCTGAAGTGCAGTGAGGCGATCTTGGCTAACTGCAGCCTCCAGCTCCCGGGCTCAAGCAATCCTTCCACCTCAGCCTCCTGAGTAGCTGGGACTATAGGCGCACATCACCACGCTCAGCTAATTTTTAATATTTCTTGTAGAGACGGGGTCTTGCCATGTTGCCCAGGCTGGTCTTGAACTCCTGGACTCAGGCGATCCCCGCTCCTTAGCCTCCCAAAGTGCGGAGATTACAGGTATGAGCCAACTCGCCTGGCTGATATTATAATTTCTTGTCACAGAAAAGAACTCAAAAGGGTTACACAGTCAAGGGCAGAGCTGAGACTTAAACCCTGACCTTTGAGCCAGGATAACTGAAAACAAACCAACAAACAAACCCAACTGTTTGGAAATAGCAAAGGCAATAAAGTGTAAAAATAAAAGTATATTTACCCAGACAAAACGCTTAGGTTTGTAGAATCACCAATAAATTTGCCCACTGGAGTGCTAGGGACATCTGGACAGACAGTAAAGGAAGTGTCTCTCTCCAGGAGCAGGTTTAACATTTTCCTTTGATTAGACCTAAAACTGGGTCCTGAGCCAGAGCTTCCTTCCTCTCTTGTGGATGAGAAGAGTTCCGTAGACATGGTCTTCGAATTCTCACCAGGAGAAAAACAAAACCTAGCTAGGAGGAAAATGTCATCTATATCGGTACCTCACAGTTCCCTCAGCTTTCCCAAATTCCTCCACCCTTTCCAGCCAGGCGGATCAGCATTGGAAGAGGGGCATTCCCGAAGGGTGATTCACAGCCTGGCTCCAGGTTAGAACCTGAATTCACCGACGAGAGGCAACCTTAGGACCTTAAAGATGGAATGAAGAGAAGATTTTGACTTGTTCCACGCCACACAGCTCGAGACTCCTGACCAGAAAGAACCCAGGTCGTAACTCGCGACAGTGCCCATTCGGCCCTCCCAATCTCTGTTTGTGTGGGCCGACTGGACCCTAAGGGGACAATGGGGTCTCCGTGATTCCGTGGCGGAGACGGCTGCGGACTTACCTCAAGCCTGGAGTCTGAGGCTTGCCTACAAGAGGAGGGAAAGTGGATAGGGATCGGACACAGGCGAAGACTCGAGCAGAATGAAAGAAAATCTGGGGGAAAGGAGGCAGTTAACCAGACTGCAACTCTGCCTCCCGACTGGGTAGGCCAACGTCGGACTCAGCGTCTTCCCCGCGCAGGCCAAAGTTATGGCCTGCGAGCAAGAATATCAACAGCCGCAAGCGTTGACCATTCAAACCTTCCGCCCGCCCAGTAACCTATCCCCGCTCGCCTCTAAGCTGCGTCAGCCAATCTCCGTGCGCGCGCCCAGACCCTCACGGCCTATCGTTGGGCTGGCACATTACCCGGCGTGTGCTTGCTCTGGAAGTGGTAAGACTTGCCCCGCCCCATAGCCAGAGCAGGATAGTGATTGGCCCACCAGCGTTAGGCAGGCTGCGGGGTAAGCTCCGCCTCACGGGGAGCCTGCCGCATCATTGGCTCTCCCTCTCACCAATCGCCACACCCTTTCTGTTTTCTTCTTTCCCTCAGCCCTACGAACCCCGGGAGATTTAAATCGCACCTTACCAGTGATGACCATTCGCTAGGATAATACTAGGAGAGATTCTTTTGGGTGGAGGGTGTTGTAAGCGTTTCATTTTCCTTGCTTCTTTCTCGTGCCGTTTTCGCGGACGTTTTCTTCTGAGTTTTGCTGGCCTTCCACGGGAGATGGAGCGTTTGCTGCTGGTGTGGCAGGTATTGCGGGGAGACAGGTGTGTGTGTTTATGCTGAGAGGCATTAGCCCCTTCCAAGAGCTTTCTTTGTTTGGCGTTTCTTTTAGTGTGCAGCATCTCAGAGACGCTAGTTTACGTGGGTAAAAAGAAATTCCGTTGCAGGGAAAGTGGAGGAATTAAATTATCTTGGTATAATCCTTATCACAATCCAGAGGACCTCAAAGATTGGTTATTCATGGAAATTTGAACACTGACGAGGTGATATTTAGAAATTACTGGCCGGGCGCGGTGGCTCACACCTGTAATCCCAGCACTTTGGGAGGCCGAGGTGGGCGGATTACATGAGGTCAGGGGTTGAAAACCAGCCTGGCCAACATGATGAAACCCCCGTCTCTACTAAAAATACAAAAATTAGCTGGGTGTGGTGGCACACACCTGTAATCCCAGCTACTTGGGAGGCTGAGGCATGATTAATTGCTTGAACCCGGGAGACGGTGGTTGCGCCACTGCACTCCAGCCTGGGCATTAGAGTGAAACAAAAAGACATTCCTAATGTTAGGGATTTGCTTTTAAATAATCCTGTGCTGGGGGAGGGTATTGATGATACAAAATTGACCCTGAGTGTTGAGTGATGGGGGCAGGAAGGTCCATCATATCTGTGCATCTCAACGTTTAATTTGCACACTAACCACCTGAGGACCTGTTAAATGCAGATTCTGATTTGGGAGGTCTGGGTTGTGGTTGCGGCCGGAGATTCTGCCCGTCTAACAAGCCCCCAGCTGATGGTGAGGTAGCTGGTCATAGGAACATACTTTGAGCAGTAAGGTATTACCCCATACTCCTTACTTCAGTGTATATTTGAAAATTTCCATAATAAAAATGTTCAAAATAACCTTGGAAGCTCTTTAACATGCAGGCTAGAAACGATAATTCAATAGGTCTAAAGTGGGGTCATTATCAAGGCCCCCAGGTGCTACCCATGCAGACAGCTTACAGATCAAGCTTTGAGAAACAAAAGTCAAAATGCAACTTGTGTCTGATGTCAGGATTTTGGTGGTGGTAGTGGCTGAGAGGCACAGTGTAGCCAGCTGGTTTTTATCCTAATACCCTTTGCATCTGTAGAAACTGCTTCCCCAGAAAGGAGATGTGTAAGGAGTCTTGGTCCTCTAGGATACAGACAGTGAGTGTGGGAGTTAGCACAGAGCCTTGCTATGCCAGGTGAGTTTGAAAATCAGGCTGGGGATTAAGGGAGGGTGGGATGAGTTGTTATCTGCTTTGACGACTACAGTATAATCACACTTTGTGGGAAACTGTATACTTCCCTGCAGGTGGGAAGTAGAGACAGACAAAGTTATTCTCCAGTGGTGGCAAAAGCAGATAGATTATGGCAAGTGCACACCTGGCTACCAGTGCTTTCTGCACCAGGTCCTCAAGTAAGTGCAGTTGTGGGTGGTCACAACAAAGATGTCAACCAAGTAGCTTTAGTTCAATGTCAGGTGATAGAAATATACTAGAATCTGAGCACTCTGACAAAGTTGCAGCATTCCTAAAACAAATTCTGTAAAAATCTAGCCCAAAAATAAGTTTCTGAGACTTTTCTCAAATAGAAGTTATATACCTAGTCCTTAAGAGTGTTTTTTTTTTGGGGGGGGGTTGTTTTTGTTTTTGTTTTGAGACAGAGTCTCACTCTCTCCCAGGCTGGAGTACAGTGGCGCGGTCTTGGCCCACTGCAACCTCTGCCTCCCGGGTTCAAGCGATTCTCCTGCCTCAGCCTCCCAAATAGCTGGGACTACAGGTGCCCACCACCACGCCCAGCTGATTTTGTATTTTCAGTTGAGACGGGGTTTCACCATGTTGGCCAGGCTCGTCTCAAACTCCTGACCTCAGGTAATCCACCCGCCTCGGCCTCCCAGAGTGCTGGGGTTATAGGCGTAAGCCACCATGCCTGGCCAACAAAACTCTTAAAAGCTCTACTTTTCCTAATGAAATTGTTTTCCTACCAAACATTTTTACTATCTCCTCATGATTCCAGCTGGCTTAGCTAATTGCAACATACTTAGCTAATTACATGTAAGTTTACATGCATGCATACAAACTGTGAAATGGTAGAATTATTTTAAAGGGAAGTCAAATATTGTCTTTTATATCTTGATTTCTGAGGGTGTTGGAATATATCTAAGTTATCCTTCCCAGAAGAAAGAATATTAGGGAGGTGGGAAGTTTGGTGTTTAATCTGATTTGAAGATTTACTTTTTCTGTTGGATTGAGGGCATTGATCCTATGTCATCCTTGGGGAATCCCTATCTAGGCTCCTGATTCACTGTGATAAGCAGTGAGCTGTGTTCCTTCACCTTGACCTCAGTCTGACCCATACTTGTTGTGGCCAGGGCACTGCGGCAGCCTGGGCTTCACCCTGAAACACCAAACAAGAACGGGAGGTTCAGCCATCACTCCTGGGATGCCCAGATCAGGCAGTGGAGAAGAGCCCTACATTCCTGGGACCCTCCCCGCCAGCCTCTGCAGGGCAGAAGGGCTGAGGGATGTGTTTTCTATTCCTGGTTCTTTTTATGACTGGTAGGCTTAGCCCTACTTCTCCCCACTTTGCAGAGGTTTAGCTTTCACTGGGTGAAAAGGGAAGGTCTGAATCGAGTGCATGTTCCTCCCACTTGGCTGTTCCTTCCTAGGCAGGGAATGGAGAGTCTCCTAGAGCCAATGGATTCCACTCCTTTGGATGACCTCCTGAATCACTGGCTCCAGGCCCTGGAATCTTCAGAATATGGATGGAGAGTATCCTTTACTGAAACCCACTGAAGCAGGGTTACAGATGGGGTTTGGCCCATGAGGGCACAATTAAGATGCGGTTCAAAGCAGCGGCTCAAGAACAAAAGAATAAAAAGGGGGCAGCAGGGAAAAAGAGCAGGACATGAGTAAAAAAATCCTTGGGAACTAAAAGTAGAATAAGGAGATTTAATTATGGGTAGGACTGTTAGGCTGCACTGGGAGGCAACATAGATGATTTCATAGATGATGAAAGGGGATGTAACCTTCCTTTGAAATGAGGCCTGAAACTTGACTTGCAGGGTTTTTTGTTGTTGTTGTTTTTGTTTTGTTTTGGGTCTCAGTTTCTTTCAATGTTTTGCAAATGAGCCAATGCCTACTTTTAACTCAACCGTTTAACTAGTAAGCTTGGTTAATAATAAAAAGGGGAACAGCTTAGTGGTGAAAAGCAAGGGCTTTTAGACTGCTTTTTGATAGTACCTTTGCCTACCATGTGGGCAGTCACTTAACCTCTTGGGCTGTTTCATTTGTCAAAGAGAAGGTTTTGTTTCATTTGATGATTGTAAGAAAAAATGAGAATATATATCAAAGTATGTAGTCCAAGTGTGGTGGTTCACACCTGGAATCCCAGCACTTTGTTTTTTGTTTGTTTGTTTTTGAGACAGAGTCTCATTCTGTTGCCCAGGCTGGGGTGCAGTGGCACAATCTCGGCTCACTGCAATCTCTGCCTCCCTGGTTCAAGCGATTCTCCTGCCTCAGCCTCCTGAGTAGCTGGGATTACAGGTGGGCGCCACAATGCCCAGCTAATTTTTGTATTTTTTATTAGAGATGGGGTTTCACCATGTTGGCCAGGCTGGTCTCGAATACCTGACCTCAGGTGATCCGCCTGCCTCAGCCTCCCAAAGTGCTAGGATTACAGGTGTGAGACACCATGCCAATCCCAGCACTTTGTAAGGCCAAGGTGGGAAGACTGAGGCCAGGCGTTTGAGACTACCCTGGGCAACATAGCAAGATGCCTCTCTCTACAAAAATAGGAATAAATATGCTGGACATGGTGGCACACTCCTGTAGTTCTAGCTACTCAGGAGACTGAGATGGGAAGGATTGCTTGAGCCCAGAAGTTCAAGGCTGCAGTGAGCTATGATCGCTCACTGCACTCCAGCCTGAGCAACAGCAAAACCCCGTTTCTTAAAAAAAAAAAAAAAAAAAGCATGGTGTCTGGCACATAAGAGCAATTCTTGGAAACCACGTGTCCCATACTTCATGGCCCCTGACTCTGCTCCTTTTGCCAAGGGGAAATAGGCAGTGCAAGGTAAATCTCTCCACCCCTATTTTCTCAGTTAGTACTGTACCTCACTTTTCTTTTTCAGTTTGCAGACTTGGTGACTCCTGCCTCCTCCCCTCCCTGGCTCAGTGAGGAAGATCCCTGCCACTGGCTCTACTTTCCAGCTGATCACAGCTATTTACCTGTCCCAGTCTTGAGTAAGGCACAAAATATTTACAGAAAACAGACGTCTTTCAGAGGACTTGCTGCTAAGTGTAATAGTGAAGATTACTTGCATACTGCTACTTTCCAATCAATTAAAAAAAAGAAATAGAAAACTTTGTATTACAGAGAAATCACAACATGAACGCAGTTTAAAGCCTCTCCTTTATCCACTTTTTTGCTTGTCTCCCTAAACCATCTGTGATGCTAGCTGAGACTCGAATTTACATAAGAGCCAGAAACCATCAACCCAACCTCTTCACACACTAACGTCTACATTCGTCTCTTTAAAAAAGACTTAAACTTTGGCTCATGTGGGAGGTGGTGGTAGTGGTGGAGACTTAATAAAAGGTGGTTTCGTCTTCCTGAAGTGGAAATATAGCACCGTCAACATCTTTTCCCCATCTGGCTGTTTTCTCCTTCCCTTTCTGTTTAAGGAAAGTGTAACCACCGTACTTCTCCCCACCTCCCCGCACCTCCCCCAACAAACGCAAGCAACTGAACCGCCTATGATGTCATAATCACAATCCCATTACCTCATCCTGCTGAGGGGGGGCGGAGAGAGAGGAGAGGGAGTGAACAGCCCTGGGCTATCCTGAGCTTTACAAAGTGTTCTGGGTGAGTGCAAATTACAGAACCAAGTGGAAACGTCCCCGCAATCATTATAAGTTCTGGGTTTTTAAGGTTCAGGCCGATCCGGCAGCTGCAAGAGCGGCTCCTGGGACTCCGAGCAGGCCCTAATCGGCGCTTGGACCACACTTCCCAGCAGCCTTCACGCCGCGGACGGGTCCTTTGCTGGGGGAAGGGGGCTTCCTTCGAAGAGGTGGTCGTGGAGGGCGGGGCAGCCGAGCAGGTGAGGGGCACTGTGGCTAATTGCATGACGCGGGCCGAACCGAGTGGGAGGCTGCAGTTGGGCCGATGGAGGGAGGGAGGGCAGGGGCGATGCCTTTGTTTACCTTCTCCCGACATGGCCTCCCCCGCGGGTTTCAAGATGTACCTCCAACTGGGACCGTCCACTTTCTGCGATATTTTGGAGGGGGTGACTCGTTAGTGAGGAAACCACCCCCATCCCTAAATCAAAGCGCCAGGCTCGTTCCCGACAGCGCTGTCCGAGAGAGACTTTGAGAGAGACACGACACGAAGCTGCCCTCTCCGTGGGTGGCTCGGGGGGATTCTGCGAGCCGGAGCTGTCCCACTACTCTCCTCAGGGACTCGTTGGTTCGCGCCAGCGCCTTTTAAGGACACCGTGGGGCGAACGGAGCGCTCAGAGCTGCTCCGGCCGCGGCCCTGGGAGCTGGAGGAGCTGCGGTAGGTGGCGGAGGGCAGGTGGCGCTGGGGCCTCGGGGCGGGCACCTCAACTGTCCCTCCCTCCTTCCCTCTTTCCCCTCCCCCAGCCCGACCGCCCGCGCGGCCGGGCCTCGCAGGCCGCCTCCGCGGGGAGAGCACGGGACCCGGTGGGGGAGGGGGTGGCGAAGTGCTAAGTCCCAGACCCTCCCCATCCCTTGCGTCCTGAGTTCGCTTCCCGCGGCCAGATGATGGAACCTAGTGGGAAGAGGCGAACGATAGCCCCCCCTGAGCGAGCCCTGGCGCCCCCCCGCTCCGGGGACCAGCGGACGCCCCATGCCCCACCCCGCGGGGACAGGCAGGGCAACAGAGGGAGAGGTTGAAGATTGGAGGGGCCTAGCCTTTTGCTTCTTCATGGGGGTGGGGGGAGGGGTGTTCCCCACTTGTCACCCCTTTCCCCAGCAGAACCATATGGAGGAAGAGCAGGCAGGTCTCCACCTACCTGTTCATGCACCTCCCTGCCTTCCTCATGTTTTCCTTCAGTCTCCCCAAGAGGTGTGGGGCCGGGACCTGGGGGGAAGGTCCCCAAGGGATTTGTGACTCTCCTCCCTGTTGGCCTGACCTGATCCTACCTTATCTAGGTTCAGCACAACCTCAGCATCCCTGAAACAGGAGTGTCAGGGGTTACTGCCATCCAATAGGAGATGGGGTGGGGGTCTGATCTTTATTTTGAGGGGCTGCTGGTGGAGGGAAAGCCTGAACTGAGAGTTAGGCCTGGTGGGGTTGCTGAGAGGGCCTAGCGGCCTGCTGCTCTCTGAAGGGCTGAGCCCCGTGCCAGTTGTTAAACTGAGAAGTTTTAACTTGTTTAGTGACTGTTCAGGGCTGTCTCTACCCTTCAGATACACAAAATGGAAGGGGAAGGAAGGCGGCAAGAGAGGGCTTCTTACACTTTTTTCAATGCCTGCTTGAGAAAGAGGAGGCCCCTCGCGGAGCTGGTTTGCCTTCTTTTGTGTCCTGGTTTGATTCCTTATGGCTTCCGTTCTGTTCCCCCTCTCAGCCTGGCCTGTTTTAGGAAACTCAGGCTGAGAGTATCAGTTGCGTGGTGGTAGTTGCATTGTTCCAATTACCGCTGTGTGTGGCCACATCCCAACAATTAAAATGCGGAAAAACACAAATTCACTCTCTTGACTTGATCCTAGAGATGGCTGGGAGTTTGCTGTTTGTCCAAATGCCTCATGAAAAGCTAGAGAGTTTGCTTCACTCCCTGCTCCTCATAGCTGGTTAGCCTGAGGCCTGGGGTCTCGGGGGTAAAATCCTGCACTTAGGTTCCCTCTCTGGTTGATCTTTGAGGGCAGCAGAGTTAAGAAACCAGGAGCAGAAGTAATATAAGCTTTAGCTTCTCCCGTAAGAATATAGGGGAAGCAGCTGAAGAGAGCTCCCCGGAAGCTAGAATTTTGTTCAGGGTGGTAATAATTATGCATGAAAATGATAGTTAACTATAACGATGATTGACTTCTCTTGCACCTTTCTTCCAAAGAACTCCAAATACATACAGGTTTATCTCTTTGCTCTTCCTTATGGCCTCCTTCTGAGGTGTGAGTGGGGTAGAGATAATTTCCTCTTCTTTGTAGAGTGATCTGCCCCCAAGGTCACAGAAGGAACAGCCCTCTTGGGCTTTTCTTAGTGTACAGGTGAGGGAGGATGGTATTCAGCCAGAGAGATAGACCCTATTGCCTTCTTCATCTTATTGATTTCATTACTTCTGACATTCTGAGGCCTTGAAGATTCACAAACGGGAACAAGAAATGGTAGTCTATGTGGACTCCTGATTTTTATAGGCCAGATGGTACATTTTGTACATTTTAATATGTTATATTGTTCCTGTGACAGGTTAAGATTATTCTGCCCACTTTACATATGGGTAAACTGAGGCCAGCGAGTATTAAATGATTTGTCAAAACTCTTAGCAAATTGGACTAATAATTAGATTTCTTGATGATTTGTTCTCTTGACTAGCTAATGCTACACACATTCTCTGGTAAGCTGTCAGCTTGCTGGTCATTTCCGGGAATAGACAGAATAAAATCAAGACACTGGCTTAACCTCCCCTTTTCCCTTGAGCAAGGCCCCTCAGGTAATTGTGTGGGCTTGAAGCCTGTTCTCTGATACAGTTAGTTTGCTTCTATCAGAAGTTGACCATGAGAAAGAATCTTAGTTAACTGTATCCATGGACTTTGCATCAGATCAGGCTAAAAACTTAGTTGAATAAAGTCATGGAATTGTTTATAACGTCTGTAGAGTTGAAATGTATTGGAATTACCCTGATCATTTCCTTATCCTCTTCCCATTTGATAAGAAAACAAACACCATATCTATGGGAAAACAATAATATATCAAATGTTTAGGCTGTGGGAGGACATAAAATCCTATGTACTCAGGTCTGAAGCAGAAAGTCTTGCCTACAACCACTGTTCTTCCTTGTTCTCTTATTACTATTTCTGTAGTTTAGGAGAAGGGTACCTCTTTTCACTTCTGACTAGAAGATAAAATACTGGGCTGATCTCAAGGGAAATAATCATTTGGGCATCCCTGTCTCTCACGTGAGCAGCTGTTTTCTAAGTGCTGCTGGTATTCCAGTTAGAAACAACAGAGCATGAACCAGGTTAAGGGTAGCAAATAAGTTTCAACTTGATTGCCAACTCTATTTTATTTCATATCTGGACTGCCAGTTCTTAATTTCTGAAGCTGTGTTTAGGCTTAGCTAGAAAGAGCTGTGATCAATTGATGTCTGCCAGAGGCCTGGCTTAGGGGTGCTGTGGTATGTGTGCCATGCATTTTCCATCTCTGGACCAGGTGCATCTCTAATATCACTTGGGGCTGGTCCCTCTAATTGGCAGACTCAGCAGGCATGACTGGAGAGGGAAGTCCCAATGGTGCTAGAATGGTGCTGCAGTGGCAGAAGACGGCTTACGAGTGAGGTCTGGAAGAACAACAGGGAAGACATCCATCATTTGCTCCAAAGTGTGCAAGTCAAATCCTGGGGAGAATCATGATAACCCTGATCACTGAGCAGCTACAGAAGCAGACTCTGGATGAGCTGAAATGCACACGCTTCAGCATCAGTCTGGTAAAAGACCAGTCTTCCTGCTTCTCCACGACCCCCTCCCCCTTTTTTCTGAGGCTGATTGTTGCTACTACTTTACTCTTGTCCTGTGCTGTATGAATCATGGTACTTAACCTGAAGAGCCCACTAATGGCTCAAAACCCAGCCCAAAAGGAAGGGGGCAGGGATTTTTCCACCTATAGAAAAGGGACAACAAAACTTGGGTGGAGAAGGGTTTGAGATGTTGGAAGATGTGGATTGTTTGACTTACTAACTTTGGGAAGACGAGAGGAAGAACACTTAATGTCCCTAACATCCCTATAGCTCATGAATTGCAGAGGAGAACTGAAGAGGGCTTCCTAGAAATCTGTCAGTGTGTCCTGAATCCAAATCATGATGGATATTCTCTCTTTCTTAGCCTTTGCCTGATCATGCAGACATCTCCAACTGTGGGAACCCTTTCCAGCTTGTGTCTGGTAAGGCATCGTGTGTGTTTGTGTATATGTGTATACCCATTCCTCTCTCCACACATTTCTATCATTGGTTTCCAGTGAACAGGGCTAGCAAGCCTACCTCTAGAACTTTCTTGCCAGGGTCAACTTCTGAGATTGGCAGTTATCTTTCATGTTATAGCATGAAAGTTATCTGGTTGGTTTGCTCTTATTCTAGCTTTGTGGAGACTTGTATAACCTATTTTTTTGAATAGGTAATACATTCACATGGTTCAAAATTTAAAAAATAACAACAAAAAGGTTATGCTGAGAAAAGTGTTACTCTCCTGTTCCCTATCTACTCAGCTTCTACCACCTCCCTAAAAGTATAAGTTTCTTACACAGTATATGTGACTAGAATTTCTGTATATAAAAAGAAGCAAATGTGTATATTTATTTCCTTTTTTTTTTTTTTTTTTAAAGTTCTGGGCTACATGTGCAGAACCTGCAGGTTTGTTACATAGGTATACATGTGCTGTGGTGGTTTGCTGCACCTATTTTATTTCCACATTTTTAACACAAAAGGTTGCATACTATATATTATTTTGTACCTTAAAACAAAAAAAATAGGACCGGGCCTGGTGGCTAACGCCTATAATCCCAGCACTTTGGGAGGCTGAGGCAGGGAGATCACCTGAGGTCAGGAGTTTGAGACCAGCCTGATGAACATGGAGAAACCCCATCTCTACTAAAAATATAAAATTAGCTGGGTGTGGTGGCTCATGCCTGTAATTCCAGCTACTGGGGAGGCTGAGGCAGGAGAATCGCTTGAACCCAGGAGGCAGAGGTTGCGGTGAGGCAAGATGGCGCCATTGCACTCCAGCCTGGGCAACAAGAGTGAAACTCCATCTCAAAAAAAAAAAAAATCACTGGGCACAGTGGCTCATGCTTGTAATCCTAGCACTTTGGGAGGCCGAGGTGGGCTGATCATGAGATTAGGAGTTCGAGACCAGCCTGGCCAACACAATGAAACCCTGCCTCTACTAAAAATACAGAAATTAGCCTGGCATGGTAGTGCACATCTGTAATCCCAGCTACTCGGGAGGGCAAGGCAGAAGAATCACTTGAACCCGGGAGGCGGAGGTTGTGGTAAGCGCAGATTACGCCACTGTACTCCAGCCTGGGCAACAAAGAAAGACTCCATCTCAAAAAAAGAAAAAAAAAAAAACTTTAATATAGCTAGGAGATCTTTCCCTATCAGAATGCTGAGCATTCCCTTGTTATATATAGCTGCATATTATTACACTGCTTAGATGTACAGTGGCTTATTTCACGAATCTTCTATTGATGTACATTTAGGTTATTTCCAATCTTGTTTCAGTACATAAAACTGTAATGGGCCAGACGTGGTGACTCATGCCTGTAATTCCAGCACTTTGGGAGGCCGAGGTGGGCAGATAGCTTGAGGCCAGGGGTTCGAGACCAGCCTGGCCATCATGGTGAAACCCCGTCTCTACTAAAAATACAAAAATTAGCCGGGCATGGTGGCAGGTGCCTGTATTCCCAGCTACTTGGGAGGCTGAGGCAGGAGAGTTGTCTGAACCCAGGAGGTGGAGGTTGCAGTGAGCTGAGATCGTGCCCACTGCACTCTAGCCTGGGCGACAGAGCAAGACGCCATCTCAAAAAAAAAAAAAAAAAGAAACTGTAGTGAATAACCTTGTACATATGTCATTTTTTCACATGTGAAAATATATCTGAGGTATAAATTCCTAGATTATTAATTAGTTAAAGGGCCCCTGATGGTAGGGACATTTAGATGGAGGCATCACTGGTGGACAATCAGAACTCC